GAAGGCTACGGTCCCTTCACAACTCTTACAGTATAATACTTATTCTCGAAAGGCTACGGTCCCTTCTCAGCTCTTACAGTATACTTATACTCGAACGACAACGTTGTTTACTCAGCTCTTACACTCTAATATTTGTACTCAAATGACAGCGTTCCGATTTACAGTGACATGCCTATTCTCGAACTATCACTGCTGCGCTTTTACTGTGTTATAACTGTACCGGAATGGCAAAGTGCATTCCTTATCTCCTACAAAATAAAACTTGTACTAAAACGCTCTCTCATCAGCTTTTACATTATAATACTCGGACAACAGGACTCCCTACTGTAATATTTCTACCCTACAATACCCTGCTCATTCATGACGTGTTCTCAACCTTTAACATTTTCTCTCTTTTGAATTTGCGTTCAGTGTTTAAATATGACGTTCTTTCGTCTCGTTAGGCACCAGTGCTGTTTGTTTAACGTGCTGATTTCCGGACGATATTACATGTAGTATATGATGTCTTTTCTGTCTATCGGTCATTGATCTGTTTTTCTAACCTGTGTTAGCTTTTCAGACCCACCAGGATCGGACGGTAATGTCTTATATAGGGGAAGTAAATTGTTCAAATTTGCTGTTGATTAATTAATTAATTTTTTGAGTTTATGATAAGTTATCTTTTTATGTACACATTGTCAGCGTCTTCCAGTATTGACTCATTTCCTATTGTTCATAATGTCAAAAGCGCGTTCTTTTAATTAATCAAAGTTTCCGGTTAGTAAATATCATATTTCACAGATACCTGTCAGTCAAATATTTTTATCTATATACCATTAGGTAATGCGTCGGAAAACCCTATTTTGAACAACAGAAGGAAGCAACTTTTTCAAATATCTTCTTGTTTTCACGTCTTCGTGTTCTTAATCTTATACACAAATGTATGGTATTTTAATCACATAGTACTTAGATTGGAAATGAGATACTCAATTGATTATAAGATACTCATTTTCATCGATACTTCAGAGGATAAGATACTTATTTTTACATTTTAATTTTCCTTTTAATCATACGATACTCATTTTTATCATAAAACACTAACTTTTATCACAACTTACTCGTTTAAATCATACGATACTCAATTTGATAATAGAATGCTCATTTTAATCATAAGATACTAATGCTCATAATGAGATATTCATTTTGATAATGAGACACTCAATTTAATCATAAGACACCCATTTTATTCGTAAGATATTCATTTTAACCATGAGAAATTCATTTAAATGACAAGATACTAATTTAGTTCGTAAGAAACTTTATGTGTATCATAAGACACCCATTTAATCAGAGGATCTTTATCTTATTCATAAAATACGCATTGTACTCAAAGATATTTATTTTTCTCGGTAGATACCAATTGTAATAATAAGCTACCGACATTAATCATACGATTCTCATTTCTGTCAATGTTGTACTTCATATTTCTAGAGTAATGGGATTAATTCTCTTGAGATCGGTTAGGATAATTAGCAAAACATAACAATGAGGCATACACAATCAAATTAGGTATATCATTGGTGATAGATTCTCATTCTAAACAGGAAAATGTTATACACTGATGGACAAATTACCTGTTATATGGTTTGCATATAAATAGATTAGTGGGAGATGAATATCATCGTTATATATCATATTTTGTTTGTTTTCTATAAGCGCAATTACTTTTGTCTATGACTGTGGTGTAATTGTTTGGTTGTGACATCAGTGTTGTCTTTACGTGTAATATTCTGTCTGTTGTTTGGTTGTGACATCAGTGTTGTCTTTACGTGTAATATTCTGTCTGTTGTTTGGTTGTGACATCAGTGTTGTCTTTACGTGTAATATTCTGTCTGTTGTTTGGTTGTGACATCAGTGTTGTCTTTACGTGTAATATTTTGTCTGTTGTTTGGTTTTGATATCAATGTTGTCTTACACGTGTAATATTTTGTCTGTTGTTTGGTTGTGACATCAGTGTTGTCTTACACGTGTAATATTTTGTCTGTTGTTTGGTTGTGACATCAGTGTTGTCTTTACGGTAAATATTCTGTCTGTTGTTTGGTTGTGACATCAGTGTTGTCTTTACGTGTAATATTCTGTCTGTTGTTTGGTTGTGACATCAGTGTTGTCTTACACGTGTAATATTTTGTCTGTTGTTTGGTTGTGACATCAGTGTTGTCTTTACGGTAAATATTCTGTCTGTTGTTTGGTTGTGACATCAGTGTTGTCTTTACGTGTAATATTCTGTCTGTTGTTTGGTTGTGACATCAGTGTTGTCTTTACGTGTAATATTCTGTCTGTTGTTTGGTTGTGACATCAGTGTTGTCTTTACGTGTAATATTCTGTCTGTTGTTTGGTTGTGACATCAGTGTTGTCTTTACGTGTAATATTCTGTCTGTTGTTTGGTTGTGACATCAGTGTTGTCTTTACGTGTAATATTCTGTCTGTTGTTTGGTTGTGACATCAGTGTTGTCTTTACGTGTAATATTCTGTCTGTTGTTTGGTTGTGACATCAGTGTTGTCTTTACGTGTAATATTTTGTCTGTTGTTTCTTTGTGACATCAGTGTTGTCTCTACGTGTAATATTCTGTCTGTTGTTTGGTTGTGACATCAGTGTTGTCTTTACGTGTAATATTCTGTCTGTTGTTTGGTTGTGACATCAGTGTTGTCTTTTCGTGTAATATTTTGTCTGTTGTGTGGTTGTGATATTAGTGTTGTCTCTACGTGTAATATTCTGTCTGTTGTTTGGTTGTGACATCAGTGTCGTCATACACGTGTAATATTTTGTCTGTTGTTTGGTTGTGACATCAGTGTTGTCTTACACGTGTAATATTTTGTCTGTTGTTTGGTTGTGACATCAGTGTTGTCTTTACGGTAAATATTCTGTCTGTTGTTTGGTTGTGACATCAGTGTTGTCTTTACGTGTAATATTCTGTCTGTTGTTTGGTTGTGACATCAGTGTTGTCTTTACGTGTAATATTTTGTCTGTTGTTTGGTTGTGACATCAGTGTTGTCTTTACGTGTAATATTCTGTCTGTTGTTTGGTTGTGACATCAGTGTTGTCTTTACGTGTAATATTTTGTCTGTTGTTTGGTTGTGACATCAGTGTTGTCTTTACGTGTAATATTCTGTCTGTTGTTTGGTTGTGACATCAGTGTTGTCTTTACGTGTAATATTCTGTCTGTTGTTTGGTTGTGACATCAGTGTTGTCTTTACGTGTAATATTTTGTCTGTTGTTTGGTTGTGACATCAGTGTTGTCTTACACGTGTAATATTTTGTCTGTTGTTTGGTTGTGACATCAGTGTTGTCTTTACGTGTAATATTCTGTCTGTTGTTTGGTTGTGACATCAGTGTTGTCTTTACGTGTAATATTCTGTCTGTTGTTTGGTTGTGACATCAGTGTTGTCTTTACGTGTAATATTCTGTCTGTTGTTTGGTTGTGACATCAGTGTTGTCTTTACGGTAAATATTCTGTCTGTTGTTTGGTTGTGACATCAGTGTTGTCTTTTCGTGTAATATTTTGTCTGTTGTGTGGTTGTGATATTAGTGTTGTCTCTACGTGTAATATTCTGTCTGTTGTTTGGTTGTGACATCAGTGTTGTCTTTACGTGTAATATTCTGTCTGTTGTTTGGTTGTGACATCAGTGTTGTCTTTACGTGTAATATTTTGTCTGTTGTTTGGTTGTGACATCAGTGTTGTCTTTACGTGTAATATTCTGTCTGTTGTTTGGTTGTGACATCAGTGTTGTCTTTACTTGTAATATTCTGTCTGTTGTTTGGTTGTGACATCAGTGTTGTCTTTACGTGTAATATTTTGTCTGTTGTTTGGTTGTGACATCAGTGTTGTCTTTACGTGTAATATTTTGTCTGTTGTTTGGTTGTGACATCAGTGTTGTCTTTTCGTGTAATATTTTGTCTGTTGTTTGGTTGTGACATCAGTGTTGTCTTTACGTGTAATATTTTGTCTGTTGTTTGCTTGTGATATTCGTTTTGTCTTTACCTGTTGTGTAATATTTTGCTTGTTGTGTTGTTATGGAATTTGACCTTTTCTATACTTGTGGTATTTTATTTTATTGTTTTGTTACTATAGTAACAATAACAAAACCATTATTACAGAGGATTGATGGTGTTCTATTATTACCTTGGTAATAAGTCTGTTGATGGATATGACGACCAGCCTATTGTTTTTTTTATGATTCCCTACATTCCCTTGTACAGCTCGCCCAAGCCGTTCTCGCTGACTACTTGAGCTCATATGTTTTACAGGTAAAGATATATTAGATCCACGCACAACATCCTGTCAGGTGTCTCTGTTACCTGTATTCATAACGGTCATAACAGAGTGAAATTAATTTTGTACAAAACATGACGACGAAGAACATTTGCCACATTAAGAGAGCCCTGTAATCCAATGTGGTTTTTTTCAAGGTATACTTCCGTATATCTGCATGAAGCTGTGTTCAACAAGCTACAGACTGGCGTTAGTGAGGCGACGTTATACACATAGAAACTTTAGCATGTCAAGGTGAAATCGGAAATCCCACAGGTGTAATTACAAGTCCTTACCTGGATCATTTACTTCGTGTGCTGAAAACTTTCGTTAAGGATTCACTCTCAGGATACTTTACTGAAGATGGTGACTCTAAACAACGGACCAACTAGGACTAATACATAGGCTGTCTTCATGTTTATCCGACCGAATGAAATTCGTTACGCCATTTTAATTGTCGTCCTTTGCCTCAGGTACATTAAGTGAATTTACGATTTCATTTGGAAAAATGCTTTTAAGTGGTTATGATTCAGAAGGAGAGGTGTTATTTCCATGTAGATGTGCATGATATATGTAAGAAACATGGCAAAGTATGACGCTTTGGGATTCGATCAGAGTGATATAAATCGTGTCCTGTGCAAAAGTTTATAAACAAGAAATACTTCTTTATACTGCGTGGAAAGAGCTGATTTACAGATATTTGTTTTCACGATGGGGACTCCACACTGGGTATCGATGTTTGACGACCCTCGGAAGTACCCAGACTCTCCTTTTGTATCTGACGCTTGTCTCAGTTCAATTCAGGAATCGCGTTGCGGAGAATGGGTGCAAGATGTCCGCAGAATATCCAAGGAAAGTCTTATGAGTAGGCCATTGCCGGATATTCCGAAGACCTCACCCGTCCTCTCCCGGCACCGAAATATCTCACCCGTCACTAGCTATGACAACAAATGTTACCATGACAATCCAAAAGAAATCCACCGGATGGTAAGTTTGAGGGGAGTTGGGTTGTATGTGGGAGTGGGTTGAGGTTGGGGTTTGGTGGCCTGTTAAGGGAGTCACGATTTAAACAATTCTATCGATAGCTTTTTTTAAGTAAACTTCAAAACCTCGCGTAAATAAATTACTAAAATAAATATATTGCAGAATCTTTATTTCTATATACGTCCATTTGCTACTATTTTATCTAAAATCATGGCGTCGGTTTTTTATTATGATGTCACAATTAAGATAACGTCAGGTGTATTATATGCTTATAAGATATAACACAATGGCAGTGTCTTCTTACCTGTGGAAGGCAAATCTTTGAAGAGAACGTTATAACACGTTGTTTTTGTTAATATAACACTTAAAATGTAAATTAATTGTACATTGCCATGTTTACATAATGAGATATTTTTTTCTTGTCATTTGAAACTTTCATGCAACTTATTTTAATGCCGATATTTCGACATCTTAAAAATAAACAAGAATATATGTCAATATAGACATTTCAGAGTAAAATTTAATGAAACTAGAGCTAAACATAGAGGGATACAGGAAGAGTTAGCAAGCAGACAGTATAAATGTCTCGGAGCAAATTATTTTCGATAATTACTTGTTGTTTTATGAGAAAATATGGTGTTACAATTCATTTATATTCTACAAAATTAACATCCTAACCAAACAATGTATTATCCAAATGACATTATCCTTAATAACATAATGACACGTTTTAGTTCGATAGCATGTTTGTTTCATGTATTTATTCACTGAAGCACATTTGCAATTCATCAAGAAGGCAGTTTTGAATATATATATATGTATTTTAGTAAAAAAGAGATCAAGCATGGCCTGTCTCAATTACCAATTAAAATTTAGCGATTTGTCAATTAACTGCTACATTGAGCCATAAAATGACACACAATCTTTTACTATTTTCAAGTAGAACAATACATCTGTTGGACTTCAATATGAGATCTTACGAATTAAGAAACAATGACATTGTTGATTGTACAAACGACATGCAAATCCCATTATAATACAATAAAGCTACAGTTGAACCCAATAATTTATTTAACTGCATTGTACAGCTATTTTGTCCTTCTAGGACACATCACTGATGGCTATTGGCCTAAAATATTGAAACCTACAAGGAGACTGACAAAGATTGTACCAAACAGGAAACAGGAAAAATATCATTCAATATGGAAATACTTTAAAAAATATTAATTTTGTTATGCGAGTGGTTTTTATGTTGACCTTCAGGTTGTGCTCGATAACCACATACTCCTATCTATAGGGAATGATGAGAAACACCTGCTGACCTGGCATAATGGAATATTTCCGTCATGTATGTTTAGTATTACAGAGTATGAAAAGTAAATTACATATCGTTAGTCATATCTAAGCTTTCGTATTTTCGCAAAAATGCTATAGTTTCATATTTGATATCTACTGATAATCTAGGATATCGCGTGATACATAAACCATTTTTATAAAAGAATATAAAATGCTTAAACCTGCCACGAATGAAAATGAACATGTTGGTTATACTACCATTACATACCACTTTGATGTAATTTGTTTACGCTACTGATACTTATAACGTGAGACAATGTTTACAGCAAGAGAAACGCGCTTCATGTCGAATTAGCATTTATCCATTTGGCATTCATAGGCAACTGAAACACAAATTCAAAACAATGACAAAACGGCAAAACATCAACACAAGAAAGACATTTCCGAAAAAGTGCAAAGATAATAAAACCAGGTGTCCCGAAAGAGCAAGCGTCTTTTGCTCCAATGATGAAACCCGCCATGTATATCTTAGTCAATCCAATGAAGTAATGTCATGCTCTCAAATAAAAATAAGGCATGCAACAACGAAACCAACAGGTACACTAACGAGCACGAAACACATCCAGCTTCATATGCACAAGGAAATAGAATATTTCTAAATGAAATCACTATGACGACCGTAAATCTTCCCCATAATTTTCATTAACCTGCATCATTTGAAACCCAGTGTTAAGAGTTCTTTCGTCAGTTAGTGACTTCTTGCACGAAAGTCGTGGTTATGGGAACAGGCCCATGAATATCGATTCATCTACAACAGGTAAAAACCATAGGTTCAATATTTACCGTTTTAAAGTTTCTTCTTATTAGAGGGGAAGAAAACCTCAATTTGCAAACATTACTTGCAATATTCCTACACTGTTAGCAGTTCATGAGCTTGTAATACACTACTGACATTGGTAAGGTTATATCATAACAATGCCATACAATGGTACCAGCATAGTTTACAATATAACGTAAATTGTTATGTCATTTAGATAAATAAGATATATTTATCGAGCATACAATGTAAATAAATAATCAAAGTTTGATTAAGAGTTATCTTGCCGTTAAATCAGTGATTCTTTTGACGTCACAGACATATGGTAAATAGTGTTATACTTAATTATAACGACGTTATTACGCCGTACTGCTGACGACAAATTTTAACATTTGGTGTAATTCAGAGTATATGGAATTATCAACAATTCCTAAGAGACTGCACGTGCTCAATATTTCCATCTTAAGTTATATTTATTATATTAAAAAAAACCCTGTTTTTCACTATAGCCCGCACGAGTTGAAAATTAAATTTCTGTCGTGTGGTAGGGTTTGAGTCATTACAATTTATGAAAATATCATGATTTGTTTTAATGTGCATATCTTATATTTATGCAAATTCTATTCATTATGTGATTAATGTCGATAATATTTCTATGATGTACAAACAAGGCCTTCATAAAGAGTTCGTCTTGCATAAAGTTTTTATAATGACAACACATGAAATTAATGCATTGGGTTTAATATCAAATTTGTATATCCGAAATGTTCAAGTTTAAATGTGATCATTATGTTTTGTTATTTTCAAAACAATCTTTGTTACCGTCTAATTTCTTGATTGGCAACAAGGTATATCAAAAGCAGAAATTTATGATATTACATCGGAATTTATTTCATGTTGAACTATGCCTACAATGGGCTAATCATTTGTTCTATACCTTATATTAAATTAAAAACAATATTATAAAAGTCAATTATCAAATCAACATTTGCACTTTATTTCATAGATACAATATATGTATAATTGATCACTCATTTTGTATCATTCCTCTGCAGTATTATAATCCATTACGTAATACTTTAATACTGAATAGCTCATGCAAACTTAAGCTTACTTTTCAACCTCATATTTAATGTTGAATGTGCCAACTTTTTTCTCAAATGGATCAGGAAATATTTCAAAAGCTTATGGAGAAGTTCTTCAACTAAAACATATTTCTTTTACTTCACACAGTTACTGTGACTGAAGGAATGTATACCGCAAATAAAAAAAAGTTATAAAAATTATGCAAATGTTGTAAGTACCATGAAGACGAAATGTATCTCATCCATCAACCTCGCCCAGAGAACGTCTTCAGATCCCCCTTACACCTCCATGTATGTCAAAATAAGTTTGTTACATCTCAGTGACGTATATTCTAATCACGATATATGACATACTTTAGTATGTAAATGTCCATCACGCATTTCTCCATCTGTATAAATTACCAGAGTATAGCCTTCTCTGTTTTTACCCAATGACCCTTGTAATGGATATATTCGGTATCGTATACTCTTTAACGACAAAAGTCATTCGTCAGAAACAAATACAGCTGTGACACAGTGTGACGGTCCTGATGTCATATTAATTCTTTTGTTTTCAACGCTTATTGTTAAATTTAAAGTAAATCTGTCGTAAATAATGAAACAAACACCCAAATACTTTATCGATTACTCTTAAGAGGTACTTTTTGGTACGATATGATATTTGGTTGTATTTGGTCAGTTATTTGTGTTCTGTGTCATGCTAATTATTTACTGGTTAAGTCAGTTGTGGTGTTTTACATCTACAAGATGTTTAGATAACACACATTTGTTCCTAGTTAAATTCAAATACATGTAAAACTTAACTCTCCTATAAAGCAGCGGGTGGTCTATATACAATGTTAATACCAATCTGTGTTAAGGGGATCGTTAAACAGTAGTTATAAATATATGGTCTATATATAAACAGTGCTCTCTGATTGTAGCTATAGTCGACATAATTTCAAGTGTCCTTTTGGACAATACCATGAAACTCTGAGAAACCATGGTTTCACTGGAGATTAACCAAAGCGCCTTGCAAAAATATCGACCATACTCATTTTCTGAAAATACATTTTGTACGTTATGAATTATATTTACATAACGATATTATGGCAAGTTCATACGATATCTTAAAAAACAAGGTGAATCCAGTCTTGGGAACAGCAAAAACATGGCCGCATTGTGACGTCACGATACATGAAAACCAACAGTCACCAGTATCATTATTACAATAATGGTTGGGTACTTTTTGAATGGCAACGAGCAAATGTAAATATAACAATGTAACAATTTTCTCCATTCTTTAGTATCATGGTAAACACATTTAAAGTCAACACTTGATAAAAACAGTAAAGATTGTGTAGAACATATATAACGATCTACAGTCAGTATTTAACAATCCAATAATTGAATTCATCCAACATATTTTACAGAAATCTACCGATGACACAAACAAACGAAGGAGAAGTAAACGTCATACCAACGACACATCAAGCAGACGAGAAACCAAAAATGATTTGAGGGAAACATCTGTGACTTTGACACTTTCAGTTAAAAACGGTAGTAAAAAACATAGATATCGAGACGAGTATGTCGGTATGAACAATGTGAACCATTCTGAGGTATCAACTGTCTTAAATCATAAACCAGGATCCGGAGATTCATTCTCACGGAAAGAATCCGAAAATTCTGGAACGGAACTTGTTAGTCAGTTGTCCAGAAAGAAGAGAAGACGGAATGTATGTATTGTACCGATGTTGATAATGACAGTGTTGATAATAGGAGGATTATTTACGGCCATAGCTGTGGTGTTCATGCGTCCTTTAGGTAAAGTATCCATTTCATTATCAAAACTAAGCATTCATATTTCTTTAAAAATAGTTTCCATTTATCATGATACAACAATATGAGTATACCAATGTTCAGAAGGTTTACAAACGCACAACTTAGATATTTAATTATATCTATTAGCATGTTCTAATATTCTTGCAGCAGTTCAATATGAACATTAAACTTCAAATTGTATTAGAAATATACAAATAAATCAATCATATTTGTGATATCTTTATCCAAATACGTACTTTGCGTTTTATTTTCCGAATTTCCTTTTTTTCAGAAGAAGAAACCGAAACTAACGAATCAGGCTACGGTCAGTAGAAATTTGGAACATTTTTTTTCGACATCTCAATTACACATACCAAATAATAACTGCTACATATTGATTAACGTCAGCTCTGGAATTTAATTTACACAACATAGGAAAAAGTTAACTGTATTTAAGCATTCTTAGTTTCCAATATAAATCACCTCGTCACCGCACAGGTCCAATACCAATATGGTTGAGGCTCTACAATACAAATGATAAATAAGATCGTCTAGATTATATAAACATTTTCTTCCTAAATATAGTCGAGAATAAAAGTGTTATGGATTACATAGCAGGTTCAGACATCGATATTTCTATTGTGACAATAAATAACGCTGCATTATTGAAGAATGTCACAAAAAAATACCAACAGGTCCATATAATCATAATCCAAACTCAAAAAGTTAACGCAATTCATGAATTTTAAACAAAGGTGTGGTATATCATCTTTTAGTAAATAGTTTGTGTTACAAAACGTGATTTCATCCATCTATCCAGAGTTGACATGTTTTGGCTATTTACATTAGGATGATGTAACAAACAAACATGTTATTTATTCTATCTATAGAAATGGTCATTGCAAGCGTACAACTGCGGTTACTTAATAAGACGTTTAATAAAGAGATGAGACACCGAAACACTAAGAAATATGCAGAGATAGAGGAGCCTCTTTGTCATGAGGTAAGACAGCGTGTTGTTTATGGGTTATAGTGCAAGGATGACATCTATTAACATATTACCTGTGTACAATTATTCACTGGTGTCAGACATATATTCTCAGATTCCATACATTTTACAACTAACGTCATGCCGTTGTTATATCTGTAACAAACACACATTTTTACTATTATCATTATTGATCTACAAAATAATCAAATAATGCTGATATATAGCACAGTGTTTGTGGTTAGTGTTGTACAGTATAAATATGAAAAAGTGACAATAGACTTGTTGTTGTGGTTTAATCCACAATGATAAATCAAAATAGTTACTAAAACAAGAAAACATTGTATTGTCTCTCATTATTTTTGTTTTCTGTTTTTAATGAATGGCCAGTCGTGTATGTATTGTAATGCTATTAAATATGCGCCTGTAATTCTTTTCTTGTTCATACAAAATGCTCAGCCGTTGATATATTTATTTTAGAAAAATACCTCCGCACAGAAAGACATTTTTCTGTGCTGTCATTTTCAAAGCTATGTGCATCACAGTTGCTCGTTATATAAGTTAGGCCGTTATGAAAAAATCCATAATGCGAAAGTTTTAGTTTATCAAATACATTTTCCAACTGGTATTGTGTAAAGATATACTCCGATTAGTGTTTTTTTTTCAATTTAATACGTACAATAATTGTTATCAATTCTTACAAAAAGTATGTTTATCATCAAATATCAAGGTCTGACGTAATCTGATAAGAAAGGCAATATCGTATGTCATTTGCTATACGAAACCTTATGAATTTCTCTTCAACTTTGGATAACCGTTCCTGATACCCATGACATATCAATACCTCTCCTGATAGTTAGGGTTTGAAACACAAATCAATTACACTTATATGCAAACTTTGCAATGTCATGTGTATGTGGTTTCGCGATTTGAATAATATATATCAAATACATCGCATATTTGATTGATTCACAAACATCATCCAGAATTGCAAGAACCTTTGATTTATAAATTTCTGAACTCGTAGAGAAAGTAGATACATCAAGAATTTAAATCCACCTTTGTTTCGTTGTTTCAGATGGACGGATTGTTTCTATTTAGCGAATATTCAGGAAGTTACTACGGATGCAAAGTTCAAATGTTAAGGTAAATATGAATTGGTGTAGAATTTCTATATTGTATATTTGAAAGAATATATTTGCTCTTCGATATGTCGAATCATCATAATAAAAATGAATTTCTCTGCTGGTCATGACTGAAGAGACTGATGACTGGTATGTGAATCTATTATATATTCGTCCTGTTATCCAGTGAATTCCTCTATGAATTGTTTGCATATATATAGCAATAGTGTAGTCTACTCTGGAGTTGTTTGCGTTTTCTGCGCCTGTCAGAAATCAATTGTGATATCATATGGACATTGACGTTACATCATGATTTTAGAAAGATTCTTACTTTTGTTTTCATCTCATATGTAATTTCTTAACTTGTCTCGAAATTAGAATTTTTGCTCAGTAAAGCTAACAAGACACTCTTAAGATTCGTTTCCCTGAATCTTATGGTAAATGAAAACTCAATAAACTTTCAATATGTACTAAGGCTAAGTCTGGATACGTCATACCATTTTCATCAATTATACACTGAATTTACCAATAGAACAGATTAAATCCACGTGAGGAATGCGATGGACTACAACCTTTATAATACAAACATTCTCATTCTGTAGACGGAAAAAGACTTGGGTTATAATACATATAACACAAACCAACATTTTCAGTTGAAAGTCAATTTACAGTACGTCAACATTAATTTGTTGACTAGGATTGAAACAGTACTAAGAGCAGAGTCCAATTGCAGAATACACTATCTTTTAATTGGTATGAGAAATGAAAATCTTATTTCTTTATGACAATAGTATTTGTTTATTTGTCATAACATGCTGATACTGTACCATTTCAATGCCAATTTCCAATTTCGATTATAAACAGTAGTCAGAAAAGTACAACAGATAATAATGAAAGAATATGGTAGAGACCTGTACTGCACGGTGTCTGTAAACCTATATATGGCTTAGCTTATTCTTTTTTTTTAGGAAAATATGTTATGCTAAAGTTTTTGTTTTAGATGGTTGTTGATTTGCCTGCCTGCACAATCCTTTACTGTGTAATAGCGGAAATATCAGTTTTAAATGATTATCAAAAAATTCTTATCCAGCAATGAATTATTCATAAACACGGAAAAGAGTATCGGTAATAATTCACAAAAATTATTGGTGCAAACATTCTACAGACATTCGTGCAATACTTGTAACACTAACAATGGATTCTTCAGGATTAAAATACCTATTTCATCATATTTGATTATGTCTTATTTCTTAATAAATGTCTAATTAAAACCTATAAGCTTGATAAGCTTGAGTTTTATTGACATGAAAAATCATCTTTGATATGCATGTGCATAGATCAACCAGTTCGTGTGAAATCATTGTAATAAAACTATCTTCTCCTTTGTCATATTTGATAACGTTTGGCATGTAAAACTGTCACAGTTATATGTCAATGACTGTTTTGATGTCGTGTCAGACCGGCTGATTTGCATCGTTTTTACGCCTTAATTTATGCAAAACGGTTCAACATGAAATCCGCTGTCCACACGAAATCAGTGATTATTTGTATTATTTTTACAAGAACCATCGGGAATTTTACAGAAGAAATCATCTACTGCATCTAGAATAAGATCACTTTGTTCAACCACTCAAGTTAGCTCACAGTACATAGAAAGTGTACAAAGAAGTATATACTTATGTTCGCCGTGCACTAACATATACTTTGTAGAAGACCGTAAAGGCGTGTCTGATTACAGGAAAAATATCGTTAAATAATACTAATAACATTTTTCACCAATGAGGAAATAACTGTATTATAACATTTAAACATATATCATCAACAGAAGGAAGAGATAAGTTAAAACAAAAATCGTTTTTTCCTATTATTATTATTTTATGAAATTTTCCAAGCAGACATTAAGCTAACAAAACTTTTTTACGTCCAAGCCTTTGGTTGTCCACGCACGTGGTTTCTTTGATTTATTTCCCTGCTTTAACTGCTATCGTGATCTTACATCTCTTACTTAACGTTACATATATTATCACATAGTCGCTCTCCTTCTATATCCAAAAACGAAATCTAATTCTGGTCGGCTTGCATTTTAATAAGCATATATATAATCATGAAATCACAGCTTTCAATTCAAATAAGTACTTTGAATAAGAAGCCTCTGGACGAACAGTCGCTGGTAGAAATTAGCCTTTGTGTATAAATTGTAATTAAATTATCACGTTCATATATAGTAACAGAGGAAACCTTGAAGATATTGATAGAAGCTTTATATCGCACGAACCTGTAATAAATATACTGATCTTTAATCAATATGGCAGACAAAATATAAAAAAGAATATATAACATATCCGTACACTGCTAGAATACACTTTTCATATTTTCGTTCTCATTATTCGAAGAATCATTACAAAGAAGGATACTTACTTTGAATCTTAAGACATCAAAACATGGAGAGTAAACAACTTGTTATTTCTTTCAGACGATGCGTAAACAACAGATGTGTTATCCTATGTTGTGAATTCTAAAAGAGATAAAATTGTATTAGATCAAAGAGTATATTAATGGTATTTATGTTGTAGATCAGGCAGCATCCACGTACTAGAAGAGTTAATTTTTAGAGAAACACAAGAACTTAGGAAGCCATCTTCAATACAGGGCCTCATTAAGACGTCCTCGCCGTCTTTTGATTGGAAAGGAGTGCGAGTAATTAATGTTGGCGATTTTGTCGTGGACTATGAAAGTATTAAAGTGCAGATCGACACGCAACACTTCCAAGAACTACCAAAGAGACCTCTGCTGAGTGTAGCCAGTAAGTGCTTTGTTGTGAATAATATGAAAAAAAAACTATGAATAAATGCAGAATAAATGATCAGCGTCTTAAAATATAACCTGTATTTTGGTGAGGGTAAAGAAAGACAGAAGTGGCAAGCCTTTGCAACATTAATTGAAAATCAGACTACTGAAACTTAAACAGTTTTGTTCATTACATGTTGACCTAACTTTGATGTTACGCTGAATTTTGCCTGATGACGGACGGATCCAAACTTCATCGGATATAACAGCGGTTTTATCAATTTTCATAAATCAACTTGTTCATTACCACATTGCTTATTTCATCAACTTTTTTTACATTTCTAAACGTTATATTTAAGCAAATTCGGAGAGTTATTCTGTCGAATTACCGCACGTGCTGAAATACAGTTGTTTTCCGTCACTGCCGAATACAGAAAAATTGTATGTGGCGGATGTATTATCGACAACGACATTGCAGGATAAATGTAATCATATTCCCGTGATGAATTTCATGTCACGTGTCAATAATATAAATATGGACTTGATCATCTTTTTGAACACATCAAATAAATCTAAAAGAAAGCTGTGTATTATGAGATATATATATCCTGATGTGGCTTATTTCTTATCCCTTTTGTATCAAAATGGTTTGTTTACAATTTTTTGTTCATGACAAATTACACATATTCTCCATATTTTCTCAATTTAATTCTAATTTAATTTCTATATCTTATACGTTTTTTTTATTCATTTTTAGAAATTATTACATTGTTTATCTTTATTTTAAAAAATCTTTCACTTTTTCTGTTATCCTTTAGTTTATAAGATATTATTTACCATGTGTATAATACATGCATGTCCATGGTTGTCTGTTTATAGAAGTGTTCAATGATGTGTCCTCAACCACAACCTTTACCCCATTGTCAACAAAGAGGATACTAGAAAGTCCGAAACTATGGAAATGGGGCAGAACAACGGTCGCCACGACAACAACAAGTACGTATATGTAAAACAAGTATTTCTTTGTATACTAGTTGAAATGTATCCCTACGAATTTATATCAAACATAATATGAATCAATAGTTCCAAATTATTTAGCTTTTCAGTGGCAATGCAATGAATTCCATGATATGTTCCTTTGTAATACATATCCCTTTACGATCACAGTGTTCTTTTCAAACGATTTATTACTGATACATGTATGAACAGAACCGATTTACAAGAAAATAACTTTCTGGTAATTTTACAATTTCTCCACTTGTAAATGTTCTTTGAAACTGAAATTGTCGATACCCATCAGAATGGTCACCGGACCCTACGTTTAGCATAGTTTGTATATATATATGTATATCACTGCCTAATGTATATGAATGAGAAATATACATATAAACATTAAATTACATTCAACAAACCATCATTAAGTGTCATATGTCGAGGCTTATATGTGCATCTTTTAAAATAAGCCATTTTTATCGGAATGTAAGCTTTTATAACACACCGGTATCGAAACAGTTGTCTTTCTTTACATCAAAGGAAAGTCTGCAGCAAAACCTACAACCATGACATCTGCGTTTGTACCAAGTCGAAGACAAAATCCAACAACGAAAGCACAAAATCCTGCCCGAGGAAAAACAACGCAGCCTGACAAATTTGAACCATCTACATTGTCAACAACAACATCTACAACAATGGAAACACCACCCACTGAAGCTTCCTTGTCGCCTGTTACGTCACAGTACCCTGTCACCACAGACCCTTTTACGTCTACTACAGGTACAACTTAATCAACAAATTCTAATCGAGAACAATTCATAGCGTCGTCGCTGTAGTTAGTAAATAAATAGAGTTTATGCTGAACATTGAACGTAACAATACATTGTGAAGTAATTTCTTTTGGGAACTGTCTCTGACGGTAAGTATGGGAGTCAATGATTGGTTGAATTAGAACTGTATATACATCTATATGCATGTATCAAAATAACTTCAAACAACACTTCGAATTAAGCATGAATCTTCATGATGCCTATTAAATTGTCTAGATGCATTATCTATTAATCAGATGTGTTGTGTGAAGTTATTTTTATATATTTCATCAAACACTGTGAATTCAACCTTATATTTGAACATAATTATAAATATTGAACTTTATATGCTAAGTATCATATTAATCACGGGATCTCGCTATTCATATTTCTTTATAGCATAATAACAATTAATGATAATGTAAAGAATATTACTTCAAATCCAAATAGTTTTTTTCTTCATTCAAATTTATTGCGATCCTCATTTAGAAAGGTGTAATGACTTGAATGTTTCAGCAGAAACACAATTCGAAGAGGAAGGCTTTTCAACGACGATGCACATGCCATCAAGTAGTGGAGGTCCATGTATGTCTCAAACGTTATTTTTTTCTTACGATAGTGGTCAGAAATCCTTTAAATACGAATTCAGTTTTCTAAAGTTTTAATATGAGATAACAGAGTAAATTTGCTATTCTTATGTAATGCACTTTAACCTTTGGTAAGATGTATTTCTGATGTTGATTGAAAATATATACTTTTTCCATTCATTCTCTAGCTATCAGCATGTCGAATGCGGGATCACCCATTGCTGGTGGTTCAGTGGTTGTACAATGTGTACATCAGAATCTGGCCGGATGGACTCACCTCACTGTTACACATGAGGGGAAAGGGTCAGGAATTATTAGAGTGTTAAACGTATCCTCTGACGGTCGACCAGATCCACCAGACGGCAAGTACACAGACAGACTGATTGTTCAGCTCAAAATTAGCGAAACCTCGGCCAGTGTTTCTCTTAACTTTACTAAAATTGACTGCACAGATGAGGGATCCTATGTCTGCAGCGCATATAGTCCTAAAAGGACTCTGACCGAAAGAGGATACTTGTATATTAGAGGTAAGTATGATAAGACATTAGTTTGATGAAAATTTGAATATGCAACTTACGTAATGTGATCATTTTCCCCTTTAATCTGCAATGAAAGATTCGTCAAGATACTGCCTATTTTTTATCAGCATGTATTAAATGAAAAAAAAAGTTTGCAAGTTGTCTTATAGAATTTCATCATTAGATTAAATTAATCACCAAACTTTACACACAAAAGATCGTTCGGCTTTTTTTTTCGGTTTTTCTAACCCGAAATGTGCAGTTTGGCGCAGTAATGTAGACCAATACTTTGGAATGTATAAAAAGATAATTAAGAATATGCGTTTGAATTTTTAGTTGAAAATTCTGAAACGAAAACAATATGGCCAGCGTTCTATCAAAACTATCAAATTTCAGGTTCCTTATTGTTAATTTTCATTTTCTGGATAGCATCAGTCCTGCACCCTCAATCTATGGGGTGTTATATTATAGGGCTGATCAGCTTTATCGTGATTTTCGTGCAAGATGTCGGCACCTGACAGACCAACTCATTACAACGGTTTTCGATAGAGGAAGATTGATATAGATGGTGGGAAAATTTCATGATGTTTTCCTTGAAATATTCTGTCTTGGGCCGATATAAATCTGTTAAATGTTTGTTAGTATGACCGTTGTTGCTTATGTTGTTCTCATTTTGGAACGAGACATTACTTCCTGGAAGTGTCCGAGATGGCGGATGACGTCAATGAAGCAGAAAACGCTTGCCTTTCCAATACACTATCCTTGTAATTCTTTTTGTTTCAGTTTTGCTATAGGTTTATAGAATTTGCTTTTCTTTTACTTTCATATTTCTAAAATTGTCATGTTTGTTCATTCATTTCAGCCTCTCCTACCAAACCAGAAGTAACAATGCCATTGGAAATAGTTGACCAGCGTGAAATAAAGAAACCGATAAAATGTACAGCCAATGTAGGATATCCTGTTGGAACGCTAAAATGGTCGGTTAAACCCCATGGACAACCTGAATTTATTCCTTTGGATGTGTCAAACATAAAATATTCTGGAGAATGTAAAAATATTGCCACAAGTGTTTTCAAACTCATACCAGCGATGGCGGGAAATGGAACAATACTTAAGTGTGAGATTGTCAATCAATATTTCCCGAAGGCAAAACAGCTTTCGACTTCAAGGATTTGGAAGGTCATTCCAGGTAATTCTTATAGTTAAAATATACCTTATTCCCCACTTTCATCTTTGTCTTTAATTATTCAGTGTCACAACTGTGGTCAGGGAAGAAATCAACAGTACGTAAAGTTACAACGAGAGAAAAAAAAAACCCTTACATAATTGATAGCTATTTCCTGTTTTGACACTGATAAGGAGCTCGCTGTCCGCTCAGGTAGCTTTAGACGACATGAATAACATTACATACCATTACAGAAAACAAGGGTCACTTTTGTTATAATGTTATCTAGTACATCCAATATAAGCAATGCTTTTACCTTGCACATTACAGAAACAACGCTTTAGTAACTAAACATCACAGATATCAAACAAACTCAGTTCATCATATATGTGTGAATAAGTTTCCCCTCAATAGAACATTATCAAAGACAACTTTATATGTGTATAGATTCCACATAAGTAGCATGTTTGTGTCTTTTGTTACATTAGTTGTCAGTATCTCGAAAGTAACAAACATCCTTTTGAGTCTTGTAATATTCGTTGTCAGTCTTTTGAGAGTCACAAGCGCGTTTTTTTTTTTTTTTTTTTTTGTCGTTTTTAACATTTGTTTTCAGTCTTTCGTAAGTATTAAGCTTGTTTTTGTGTTTTTATATAATTTCGTTATCAGTTATACGAAATTAACACCTTTGTGTCGTTTGTTAATTTTTTTGTTTGTTTCATCAGTTCCGCTATAATGACAGTTGTGTCCTTTGTACAATCTTACGAATGACAGGCTCCATGTTGTCGTGATCTGAGTTAATTAATACATTAGTACATACTTTTCTTGATAGATGTCTCAAGCTGATATTGTGGTTAACCATTTGTTTTCATGTTGTGCATAAGAACATAGAACATCAAACATAACAAATTATCATGATATATGCAATCTTTTAATATTACATTACAATAACTGTAATAAAACCGCGGATGATTGTTGATGAATAAAATGTATTCAGCACGATCTGATTACTAGATGTAGTTTTTGTCAAGATTTCCACGTACATTTACCTAAGATTTTTTAAAACAAAACATTAATACTTTAATGGAAGCTAAGTTGAAAAGTCGTCAATTCGAGTCAATTGACAGCTGAGACAGCAATTGAAGTTTCTACAATTTCTTTCTTTTTCTCTCTCTTTTCATATGTCAGCATTTAATTTTGTTGCACTCTTAAGACATTACTCACAAACTGGAAGAATGCAAAAAACATATTGCGCGGAATGCAGGTGTGAAGAAGATAAATCATTCCTAGCTACAGTGCTATATACACCACTGTTAAACTAAATGGATTTCAGATTTGTTTTTATTGACGAATATAACAAAAGTGTATGTTTTAGTACATATCGATATTACTTGTATTACCTATTAGTTGTTAGATTAAGAAACTTGTATAACTAGTGATAATATACCGATATATTTATACTCTGGATAAGAAAAAATAAATTTTCAAAATCTGTGTGTATTACCATGGTTCGAGACCCATGTGGGGCAGTCACAGCTACTGGCCGTAGGTCGGTGGATTTTTCTACAGAAATTCTTATTTTCCTCCATCACCCTAACATGGCCATCCTCCATTGACTCTGGTTCTTAACAGGACACTAAGAAATAATTAACTAAACCATTCTGAGATAATCAATATCCATTCAGAACATTTTACCACTAAGCATACTGCATGTTAACAGTCCATAACTACTCACATATCACCAAGGCCTATATCAGAAGATTACGCCTATAAGATAAATTCATGTATGCCTACTAAGACACGATATACATTATTACTCTAATTTACCCATAAATGACACAAATTGTCTTGTTACGTTTTTACGCTTTAATGAATTGGACATTGGTTTATGCCGCCCTACACGTTTTCTCATTAAGCTAGTTATTAACTATAGTTTAGGATAGCTGAATAAAGGCTTTACGTATTTCCGCCATTTCGTAGTTTTTCAACTTATCTAAAAAAAAAACTATTTTATGCAGGAGAGGTTAACAGCTCTAATGAATTTTTGAATCGTTAAGAAATAAAGCAAATGGTTTGGTTTATTAGAAACTAATTATACGATATCGATATTTGGAATGAAATGTGAAGGAGAGCGCGTGAGACAAATATCGATGCCATACTTTACTCAGTTCTTTGATAAACTACCAATTGTTAAACTTAACTGTCCTGATTTTGCCTATTGTTGTTTGATTTTTACAAAATAAAAGTCGGTATATGCTACAACAGATCAATATGAAGAATAACACAGGCTTTTGGACTTTTTAAACAGTAAGTGTATGGTTTCACAAATTCTTTCGAATACAGTGTTCAATATGTAACCAAAGGAGTTCCAAATACGAAAATGATGTTTAAGGTGTATGAAATGGCTTATCTCCATCTATATTACAATTCTGTGGATTTTTCAATTAAACATGACAAAAGTCAAATATAGTGTTCATTTGAGGTCAGAAGAAAGCAAAATGTTTTTTCTATCAGTTAGCCACAGACACTTACCAACCAACCAACCATATTGTAGAATTAAAAGCACGTGAAAGCATGATCAAACATATACAATCAACAGACACCATATAGATGTATTGGTAGCTATTTTATTCTTTGATCTAACTAAATAGATGTAAGTATATGTGATCATTTCCCGGTAACACAACATTGGAAGTCTACTACTTGATTATATAAATGTTTCAGAACGAAGTCATGTTGTAGACTTTTTTATTTTCGCAAGTGTTTTTCTTTAGCATTTCTCTGGGTCAATGTCATACGAGAGATTGAAGGTCTCTCCATATTTTGTCTCATATTTCTCACAGAGTGTTCTGAGATGACCTACAACATTATCAAATACAACAGCATTGCCAAGATAACTCAAAACTTCACTTACGTTCAAAATAGTCATAAGAGATCTAATTAGAGATTTAAACTTACGTCATTGTTTCTTTGTTAAATCAGTTAACGTCATGTTTAGATGTTGTAAGGTCATCTTAACATGTATAATAACTAGCTAATTTAGAAAGGTGTGTATCTAGGATGACATTTTCATCATAATTAAATCCTTTCTTAACAAGGACGACATAGATAAAGGCACGCCCGAAAGTAGAATATATATCACATTATTGTTTCTTTGGTGTTTTTGCGGAAAAAAAAACAGAGTTAGCATTTAAGGCCTACTTAACATTCCCAACACATTCAGTAATACTCTAATATTCCATTTAGCTAAGATGTCTTGCTATGTATGTAACGCTTGTTTTGTTCGGCCTATAAAATCTGTCAGAAAACGTTAGGAGGTGATTACATAAACGCCATACTTAAGGAAATTATCCACTATGTGTATATAGAATTAAGTTTCTTTGATTTAGTCTCCTTTTAACACTTCTGTTTGTTAGCTCTCTTTTATGTAGAAAATATCATTTGCATTACTGTTACAAAATGGAATTTTGGAATATTTACATAAGTGGTATATTTAATGCAAAATGAAAAAATCATAAATGTTAATAAAAATGAAATTGCTTACAAAGATTCCAAATTAGAAAACAAAGCATGCTATTTGTACCTATGTTATGCTATTCCTAAAATAGAACCCAGAGCTAGACAAGAGCTTGTTGAAGAGGATTTCCTATCAAACATTTTGCAGTTATCTCTGTATAACAATACACTTCCCTGCACAATATTCGTGTTGACAAGCGAATGCATCTATGTATAACATTATCTAAATGACACTGTGAAATAGTAATGCTTCTTTAATTTATCAGTTCTGAAGACTTGGCAAACACAAAGTTCATTGAACAAAATATGCCAAAAACCCAACTTATATTTACACACTTTGTATTGTTTTCAGCTGGTTTGTGTCTTGGAAAGCTTGACAACCATAAAACCCGCCATCCATACCGCTGTGATCATTACATCAGTTGTACTAACAATACGGTTCACGTTGTCAAGTGTAAAAACAACCTTTGTTTCAATACAGAGACTAACACTTGTGGTGAATCAGGTAAGTATATAGCCGAATAATCTATTTCCACAATAAAAACCTATTTATGTTGTAATATTTTGTTGTATGCTGATGCTGAAGTTTATAAAGTATCTATGGTTTTGTGATTTACGAGTACTAATCAAGAAACATGCATCATTATACCTATATTTGTATGACGAAAATTATTGATTATTGTTTAAGAATTTTTCCTATTCTTTTTTGTTTTAGCACAATTGGATTATTAATTTATATAACTGATACAATCTTATGAATTGAGAAACGCCTAAGAAATAGATATTTTCTTTCTCAACTGACTTTTGAATTGTTAACAGGTATAGTGATGAAAGATGTAGTGGCATACATGAATGAAGGCGTGACGTCACTGATGTGCCGCGTGCAACATCTTGGTAATTGGGATGCAATACGAATTCGGAAGATTCTACCATCTGGAGACAGGGTTCCTGTTGTTGTTGCATCCAACGAAACAAATGTAACGATTCAAGATCCAAATATGCAGGGACGGCTGTTTGCGGATATCCAGACGACAAAATATGAAGCCAATCTAAAATTATGGATTTACACATTACAGTGTGCTGATGCAGGAATTTATGTTTGCGAAGTGGATACTGATTACGATTTACCCGAATCACAGGCACAGCTGTCTTTGAAAGGTAATCACGACCTTTCATTTTCTACCGCGAATTACAATCTAGGGTAATTATGTAACATGCTGACACCGGAAAGAGAGTGGGGATATAAGATATATAATAAAGTTAAAAATAAAACAGGCTAATAGAAAGAATATATCTCTGAAAACACTGAAGAAAGATTTTTAAAAATTCAGTAATAAATTCAGAATAAGATACAGCATAACTGTTTCCTTTTTTCAGAGCTCGTATTTGATGACAGAGGCTTAAAATTTAAAAGGAATGTATAAATGAAACAGAAGTGAATGTAAATTTCGACCTATATGCAGTATATACAAACGCTGATTCAAACTGCACCATACGGTTGTCTTTCCCTTGGTAGTGATGTTACGAGTCTACATTATTAAAGCCCAGAAAAGGCGATTACTGCCAATCGATTTGGTGGAATTAAATGTCAAAATCCAGAAGAGGAAATGCACTAATCGAATTTCAATAAATGTCGTATTTGGTATTGAATAATGAACGTCAAGTGCATGCGTAAATTGTAAGCCGTGCCACCATTCGAATGAATTTAAGCTTGACAAGCAGATTACGAAAAACATCTACGACAAATGCCAAGTAAAAAGTATACACGTTTACTTGACATTATTCTTTAATTACCAGATACATGAACTGGGGCTAGTCCGCTTCCTTATCTAGATTTTAACATTACTTTCAATCACTTTGGATTTTCCTAAAAAGCCAACTAGGTTTTAAATAGAACTGACAAGTCCTAGTAGGACGAAACAGGTGCTTGATGTAGTTTAATTTGTTGTTTGACTTTACTGTATCTTACATAAATGTGCTATTCACTGTGTTTCATGTACTACCTAAAAGTTAATTAGCCTTGTCTGCCAGCTATAATCTCCAAGATTGTATAAATTACACATGGTAATATATTACCTTTTGAAATTAAAATAAGAATTTAGGACAAGATGCAGTAAAATCAGTAATGAATTAAACTTTATCATCTTCATTAAACAGCTGTTACAAACATAGAAAACTTATGATTTTAATAAAGTTTATTATTACATATCATACATGCTCTAGGACTCTAGATTGATGTGTATAGATATATAAGTGGGTGCATTCCAATGTGATAATAAAACACATGCTGTACATTAACTACCTGACCATAACTTATGTCCAATACACACCAGTTGACGGAGTCATTAATTACCCTTGAATTTTCTATTACTTGCAAGACATGTCTGTCAACTATACAATGAAAGACTTTATACTTGAGAAGGCCCAGGAATGTAAAATACATATTAATACTGTATTCTATACGATTATTAATATATAACTAGGAATATAGTCGTGAAGAAATACGTTAGTGTTAGAGTTTAAGTTATGCACAAAAAATAAAGTCATATCCAAAATTCTAGTGTAGAATATAGTTATAATGTCTTATACGATGTGTATTGTTGCTTTAATTCATTAATGTGTGACAATGTTTGATGAACCTGTTTATAATAGTTGTGTGTGTGTATGTAAAACCTAACCATTTTGTTTTATGTAGAGAGCATTCTCTCAATATACAGTAAAGTTTTTTAAATATATTTATAGATTAAAAAATTTAAATCAATGGGGAGATAACTTTAGGAAGTCGCCACTGAAATGGCCGCAACTTTAATGTATTGTTCCTTCAATAATACATATGTAGAAAATCAGGGTTATAGTTGATTATTTGAGGAGCCATATTCAGCAAGTCGTTACAATATTGACTATATTAGGTATTCAAATACATATACTACTAGTAATTTGCCAATGTGAAATAAAAACAAGATAATCCGTTTCAGAGGACTTTCTTTTCAAAGAGAGATAACGGTGACACAAATGTGTAGTTGTGATCTGTACTTGAGCGTTTACCTCTAAAACCAAGAATGAATTCGCGCCGAAATCGTAAGAATTAACGAATTTCTCGTGAAAATGAGGATTTCTTTCCACAATCATTATTTGAATACCTACTCCAGCCCGATATGTCGATAGAACGTCAAAACTTCCTTAAACCATGTTCAACTTTTATCACGAATTTTGTTTGACGTGAGCGACATTTATTGGACGCTGAACTGTATTTACATTAGCATACTGCACTCATATTACGACACAATTAGGTCAGATACAGTTTTTTGTTCATATTTACCTCAGATTGTGGCCATAAGGTGTTTTATACGCTATGACAGCTTGAGTACAAAAAGCTTCTAAGTATACTGAAATCATTGATTAACTAAAACAGTAAAAATGTGCTAATGCATCGTTACTGCTACCATCCTCTTTCAATATATAATTTGTAAGTGTTGAGTATGTTTATAAACGATACTATCTATACGAAAACTTATAACGTCAACAAATAAAAGAAGATATCAGAGTCATTCGCAAGATTTTACACCATTCTTTTATGCAAGATTTTGTAAACAGCATTTTGGTCATGTATTACAAATCCATTTGTATTATGTAAACTGTCAACGTTGTTAGCATTCAATATTTAGCGGAAATAGCCTGAAGAATATATCAAAATCTTGACCGTGATAAATTTAATAACTAACCTTCACGTTCAGTTTAGCATTGTTTAGACGTAATCAGACCAGGTTCAATTATACAACGCATTAACGTCAGCTTGATTAAAAAATCGAGGTACAAGGTATTAAAAAATGTATATCTGTACAATGTTATTTAACACCACGACGAAGTTTATCGGAACAGTAAGCTAACCAAACATATGAGAAAGGAAAGTTGATGACATTTGCGTGGTAAATTATGTATGGATGTACATCATATTCAATAGCAGTTGTATTGCTTATTTAATATGAGGACACGTCAACCTGTCATGAATAACAAGGTACATTGATGACGTTAGGTCCAAACAAGCATTTATGGACAATTACGTATAGTTGATAACGTGTCTGCATTATTTTTGCTGTAAAAATATATTCAAAGCTTTCCGATGCCATTTCGTATCTAATGCAAGTTTTAACAAAAATTCCGACAAGTCAACATAATCTTTATTCAAACTTAAGTTTGATGAAACATAGACAAAAAGAAAAAAATTCCAGTTTAAAACCTACACGGAGAATAAGACCGGAAAGGTCAACGTCGTTTTTTTTATCGCAACACCCGCCATGTTATATTTGTAATTCCAATTAAGTAATGCCAAGTCCTCAGATGAGAACAAGGTAAACACAAAAGAACCGACAGGCAATCTAACAAGTAACAAAAACGTCCAACTTGATATCGCAAAAGTAGAAATAGAATTACATAATGACCGTAAAACTTCCTCATACTGTTATCATTACAACATCTTGCACGATAATCTCAACATTGGTGACAGGCCCTTAAACACTGAAACAACTGAGACGTGTTAACATCGTAGATTGTTGATGAAGGACAGTTGCTATCCAGAAACGGAAAATTCGAAACAGGGAAATGTACCTATAGAATAGGATTATCTTTATACTCGACTTGTAGTGACACTTTGACAATAATCAATCAAACTGGAAACATATCTTTTCATATTGGTACATAGATATCTAATATCTTTATTTGCATTGCAGTGAAGCCAAAACCACCACAGATTTCGAGTCCCATAGAAATAATAGAGGGGAAGCGACTCCGTCAAACATTTTCTTGTCAAGGAGAGGTAGGATACCCAAACGGTGACTTACGATGGGAGGTGAAGTATAAGGACCAGATCAAATTTTCAAAAGTCTCCTCAACAGTGTTCAACGACACGCAAACAAAATCTATCATGGGGAACTGTTCAAAAACCATCCGACGTGAACTGTCCTTCATACCTTCTAAGCAACAAGACCAAATGGTATTAAGATGTGTTGTGCAAAATGATGATACCTTACCAGAAGGACAAACATTGTGGGATTCATTCACAGTTCATGTAATTCCAGGTATGTTACATCGATAAGTCTATTTTCAGGTGGTATTTCTGCACAAAGAGAAGCCAATTTGCATTATATATATGTGTGATCTGTGCGAAATTCTACCACTGCGAATATCTTCCGTGAACGAAATACGCAAAATCATGACCCAACAAATTTTAAGCGCTAAAAGCATCGCTATAAAATTAATTACAACAGCCGGATAACTTATTCTCTTTTTAAAATGCTTGTTTATCAAGAACAAATAATATATAGAACAAATAATTAAATCGTAGCAATAAAGCATTCCGTTATTTGTTATGTGACCTGGAAAAATTTCATTTAAATATCATGCTTTATCAACGAATTAGATGCGGAGAAAACATTAAAGCTTAAGCCACGTACCGATAGCCGTGTTTACTATATCCAAGCTCGACACTTTTTTGTTTTTGTTTTAGCAAACTTTTGTAGTTCAGTCAATTCAACATACTTGATCCATCCACACAACTGTCGGCAGTATATACAGTGTGCACAGGGGTATGTGTATGTCCGGCAGTGTAGCATCGGTCTCTGCTTTAATCCAGACACACAACAGTGTGACATCCCGGAACCAATAGAATCTACAGTCTGTACGTATACATTTTACTCATAATCCATTAAATATTGAGTTCTTAACCATATAATCATTCTTATGAAGGGGATTACACATATGCCATATTTAAACATATTTGAAAGAACAAAATGGGCCTAACTATCTTCTCTGAAAATGTTGATCATTGACTATGCGCAAATGATTTTGGTTGATGGCTGACGTCATCTCAAAAATGATATATATTATATACAAATATACATATCTCCTTGACGATGCCAAATTCTGATCCATTGATGGTGCCCTTTTAAACCACGTAATATTGATAATTACAAATTCATGAAGGTTAATCGGGGCTATCGATTTGTGCTAGTAAAGATACTAATAATTTTCCAGTTAAACAGTATCGATGTACATTAGTCATTCATTAAAGACGAATGGGTTTAAAACATACAGTAAAATATGTCAATATGTTTCATTTCTATTCTAAATCATGTTGTTTTCAACTGATTGTTAAACTTCCTTTTCTAGTTGATCCTGAGTTCCCTTGCCGACCGAACAAAAACGGTGTGTATTACCCACATGCTTTCCTTTGTAACAAGTACACGTGGTGCGTCCAAGGAAAAGGAATTCTCCAGCACTGTCCGTTAGGAACCCTCTACCTAGCGGACGGTCAATGTACATTCAACACAGAACAGTCACTTTGCTACAACAAGGACCAGGACTTATGATGACCGCAGATAATTCAGTATCATGTCATATTTTTTTTTCACATTTAAACAAACAAATTCATTCTGGCAAACCTGTCACATGAAGACACACCGAACTTGAATAAGTGGTATTGATCCCTGTTGACACATTGCTTAAAAGCTTGCAACGATGGTTATGAGAAACGAAAAAAACCAAAAGTGAAGGTTTTAAATACAAATATGCTCCGTTATGCAACCGTATTCTGAAGCCTACATTTGGATTAAAGGAGTACGATATTGAGCTGTGAATGGCAAGTCTATCTTTTGATAGAAATGGTTTTATTTCATAAAGGAATTGTTCGTTACTGTACCTAATCACTAGTGAATTACCTGTGTCATTGTGCCTATATTTAACGTTTCTCGGTGAAATGTAATATATCACCCTTAGACTACGCAACTAAGAAGTGTTCCATCGAGTTGGAATAATATATGAAGTATATTAATGATCTCAAATCATAATTTACGGTTTCTTATGCCAGGAAGAGTGTTTTTCTATACAAGTGAAACTGCACAGCTTGCAGGCCCCCGTCAAGAAGAATATATAAGAGAAAACTATACAAGAATCTATACAAAAGACAATTAAATTGAAAGAGAAATATGTGCAAGGAATACCACAACGTGCATCATAATCCTGTAGAATTAATAAACGCTTCATCCTTGTGAAACGGTAAATGGTTACACAAGAGTATGATTTTTTTTCTTTTGCAAAGATTGTGTTTTGAATTATGAATTGTACGTGTAGGCATGATGGTATATTACATCGATAAATCATATTTTGATGTTAATACATGAATGTACAAAATGTGTATAATGTGTGCATTCATATAAAATGTGTACATCCATATATCATATATCAGTCGATGTTTATTTATCAAAATAAACGATATCAATAAGCAACTAACTACAAAACCTAAACAGGTCAGCTTCGGCAAAATACATTTCTTAAATACTTTTTTTGATGGGAGGGGGTGTCTCTAGTTAAACAAAGTGTCGACATTATCATTTCTCATCCTGACGTCACCCACTACATTACACAGCAGAATTAAACGTCACTTCAAGAAATGCAATTCGTAGTGTAAGTTTTTCTTTAATTTTGTCATTTTTTTATAAACTTGAGGTTCTGCAAAATAAAGATGTAAATATTTCTTTATACGTGTGATTTACAGGCCATATAGTAATGCATCAGATTCATATGTATAAAAGCCAGGTTTTAAAATACTATGAATGCTTGTTTATAAGGTAAGCACGAGTTATATAATAAGTGTTATTGCATGTACTTTGTAGATGCGTGTTAATTTCCGTAGCTGACACCGGTTCTCAGATTACCACAAATATTAGTAAGATATAGCCTTGAATAATTGTAAAAAATATATAACTCATAACATTTACATCAGCAAATTTTCGTCATCGCAATCATCAAACTCTATACCATCAATGAGAATGTATAGTTATACCTGAACCACCTGTCATTTTAAACTATGATTACCATATTCAGACCAGGCTAATAAAGCTATATACATTTATTTATGTAGACAACCTAGCAAGCTGGATCAAGTGATTATCCAAATGACTTGTGAAACAATGGTGATGAATGATAACGTCCATGTTATTCCACAAAAAGGTCATCTTGACAAGTTAGTTTCTGACAACCTAATCACGGATTTACATGTATGTAGTTCCCTATTCCGTGAAGGACGACACAAGAATATTTTATAGGATATTTCTACAAAACATTTTCATGTATAAAATGTGTACTTAATGCTTTTATTTCAAATAAATATTTTAATTTGTACACTGTTCATTTCCTTTTACTTAAACATCACCAACATTAATTTTCTTGGGTTTAAAAGATAGTTTGACTTCTCCAGGAGGAAACTTATCATGAACGGGTGATAAATAAACCTCACCCGTCTGAGTTGTGTGAGCATAAGTATCTCGTTTAAACTGAAAAATGAAAGTCGGCATGGGTTCTGTCACACTGAACCCATTCTTTAAACTGCTGTACATATTAATACTCTACAGCAAAAAGATATTGGTCGATAGTGTGGAGATGATGAGTAATTGTAGCTGTGTTAGAGGAGTTCATTCATTATATTATGAAGAATATTGATGCCGATTTTGACCGACAGACAGATACACAGACACAAACACACAGAGGCATAAAGGTAAATGATTACTTGAAATTTTACTCCTTTCAATTATGATGTTTTTAATATAAAAAATGGCATTCCGAGTCACATGTCTAGCGAATCTATGGGACAGCATTATGCTCAAAAGTAAATTGTGGTGGCAAAAAGGTTTAACCGTAAGATATATTAAACTAGAGAAATAATTTTTAGTGATGTTACATTCACTGTTTGAATAAAGTTAAATTCCTCAACATGAAGCTGCGAATATTGGCATAACTCGTCTTAAGTTCATGTCGATATGACAAATGCAAGTATCCATCGAATTAGTGGACAAAACTCCTGTGTCATTTTTCTTTTCGGAAATAGCTCATCAATTCAGCGACAGACCAAAAAAGTAGGACAGTGTAGATCGTTTACCTGAATCACACGGAAGTGTTGTACCGTAAATGTAAAACATCAGCATACGTATTTGCAGACTAGATATATTTGACCACTATCAATGTTCATTGATATGTAAAATGTATTTTAATCAAACTTTGTAACTATAGAACAGCTGTCTTATTGTCTTAAAAAGTATTACCATTTTATCTCAAAACCTAACAGAAGTTGTTAAACCCGTCTCTCACCTTCAGTGAAAGTTTCCGTCAATAGCTTTCATACCTTACTTTCTAAGATAACTAATGCACACAATGCAATAGATATGAGTTTAAGTTTTCCTATGTTATCATAGACTACTACTACGAAGCAGATAGCGGCCATTACAACATAGCACTGTATCAAAAGCAAACAAAAAATAACCGTTTCCTCTGTGTTTGCTTCATGTGTTTTCTGTTTGAATAAAAACACCTAAAAATTAACAATTTGCCTTTCTCCTCAGTCTTCAATTTTTCCGCAAAAATCGATCGCTTATATAACTGAGGATCAATATCGGCATACCATCAAGACGTCATCCTTCATTCATAATTCTAACCAAGTTAAACTCCAAAATCTATTTTCTTAAATAAACTATAGTAAACTTTACCTCTTCCCTACGGGGAATTGCGAGACCCTGGGGCTATGAAATTCACAATTTTGGTAAACCATCTTAAGATGCGTCCATCCATGAAGGGCATTTTATACTACCATATCTGGATGTTTGAGTTTGGAAATTTGAGTCAATTTGACCTCTTTTTGCCTCACCCATTAAGCTCTAAAGTTCAACAAGGATCCATATGGGCATACCATCACATCGTCATCGTTTGCTTATAATTCCAAGCAAGTTTAAAATATATTTCCAACGATAATTAAACAAATTAAACAAATGATACTCCTGAGTACCCTTGGGTCATGAAATTCACTATATATTCACTGCCTTAAGAAACTTCCATTTATGTAGAGCATTGGACTCTAGCATATCTGGGTGTTGATGAGAAAATCTGAGTAAATTTTAAACTTTTGGTCCCGCCCCTCACGCCACCAGGGGTTGGGGTCCATATATATATATATATATATATATATATATATATATATAATATTGTTTCATCATAGGCCAGGAAAGGTTTCTGCAAAATTTAATTGAAATCGGTTCAAGGTATTTTGAGAAGTCGAAATTGTTAAATTGTTTACGGACGCACAACGTCGGATGAAAGTAATCGCAATAGGTCACCATGAGACTTTGTCTAAAAACCAGCATACTCAAATTACGACTATTCGTTAAAGAGACATGTGTCTGAAACGTCCATATTTGAGTAGTACTCTTATTTTAGTACCCCTTGTGCTGAGCGATTCCACAAAAATAACCGCACTTCTGTATGTTAATACATAAGCACATCAATGGGCTTAAACGCCATATTCCATACAAATATTGTCATATTCCACCAAATATAAGCCCGATTTACATTATATGTTTTAATGATGCATAAAGTAAAGATAAAAGAAATGTTGAGAAATGGTAGTGTTAATCAAGGGGAGGCAAAAAGGACATTCTACATCTACAAAAGGTTATAGACCATTTATTTCATCAAAATGATATATTAACGTGGTGCAAAGATCAGATCATGTAATATTTTCAACTAAATAACATGTACTGTGTGAAGCCAAAGAAAGAACATAGACCGTGTTTGTGTCAACATTAAGATCACATCGCTTAGTATCTTCCATCAAAACTATGAACAACATTGAGCTACAATAAGGCGAAGACTACTTTCCGAAAATTCAACCCTACGCAGAATTACTAAAAGCTTGGTGCACTGGAGAGGTAAGTCAAGAAGCGGCTTCTCATCTCGATTCATTTTCATTTTTCAACGTATCTTTTCCCCCAGTTTATTCTATATTCTTAACACTGCAAAATAACACGTTTTATCTGGAATATCCGATGTAGGAGTCCAGTATAGTAACAAATTCAAGCACATCAAGTTCAACGAGGTTCAGATGTACATATATGCGAACACAACCTTGGATTATAACAATGAATTATAACAATTTGCTCATCGCACACAATTAAACAATCTACATGCTGCAGTCATCAACGCTAAGTCATTGGACATTGATGACTATGACACTGAGTCATATGTACAATGACGTGCTATAAGTATTCGGTGAAAAAAAAAGTGAATCGGGCACAGAGACTTCCGCGGTGTCGAGAAAAGAGAAATTGGACAATGGACAACTGTCTAAGGGTCAAATTCTTAGAGAAAAGTAAAATAATTCTCGTCCAGAAATACGAAGTAGTGATTTGGGGCTGCATTTGTTGGGATGCTGTGGGGACGCTGACGACTGCAGATGGGAATATTAATGTTTTAAAATATCAAAAAGTGATGGAAGAAAATCTCTGGTCTTTCATAGCAAGACATTTTTTCCAAGACAATAACACGT